AACCATGTAAGGATCTATTTATTAACAGACTTATAAACCTTGGTTACGCAAATATGCAATTGTCCTCCGCTCTTACAGTCAGTGATAATGACTAACACAGGGGTGTCTGTTATTCTCACTTGCAAACGAGTAGCGCCAATTAAGTTTTATTTAAAACATCTGCTAGCCTAAACTGTAAATGCAGTGTTAACGGTATTTGATCAAAGTAGTCGTTTTTATAAGCTTCCTTCCATTCTGCTGTTACCTATGAAACTCTAGACTGGGTTAAGAAACACATTGCAGAGTTAAACACAGTCGACTCTCGCCTTGCGGACACCTCGCTATTACGGACACCCCACTAATGCGGAAAAGGGTCAGCCCCCTCCCGCCAAAACGCATAAAGAAATGACTGAAACAAACTCCCGCTACTACGGACTCTCGCTATTACGGAAATGCGGACACTTTCCTGCCCCCAAGCGCGACATTTCACTTGCTTCTTCTCTCTCTATAGCGGACACTTGAGTACTTCGTCAAAAATCCTGACTCGCATAACATAAAAGATAAAGCGACGTTTAACAATAAAGGAAAAATGACACAATGTACTATCGACCGCTTCTTTGAAAACGAGTAAACAAATGACTTCTGTACAGTATTTTAGGGAGAAAAGACATTGCCATTAGAGCTTACAAACATTTTGCGCTATTTCAACACTCTACTGTAAAAGTCGTTAGACAGGTTTCTGTTATGAGTGTACTGTGCAGCATTTTTGCGATAAAAGAGCCGCCAAGAACAATAAAAAACATTATATTTGACAGCAAGTTAACATTTTAGCCATTCACGTTACTGGAGGAGTTTCCGTTTGGTTTTTTAAGCCCTTTCTTATGTATCCCTTGTCAGCTTGCCACTCCCAATTTGATTTTTACTCAGATTCGGTTTCTAATCAAACTCAACCTTTATTAGAGTCACTTGGGCGTCGATAAAATTCCCGTGTTCTAATATTGATTTATCTAGTTTGATTGCAGCATAATTTGGTCAAAGGTGTTTTTTTTTTTTTCAATTTTAGATCAAAGTGATCAAGTTTCATCTCAGGAAGACGACATCAGAAGCGATAACTCAAATTCGCCTCGCTTTACACAGCTAACTTCTCAAACAACGGGACTGAATTCCGGGAAACTTGACATCTGCAAAGAAGAGCAAGCCTCTTGTGAATGGACAGAGTACGATGACTTCCCTTCTTCAGAGGATCTTAGTGCATTATTAGCTGATTTGGAACTGGATGCTATAAATAAAACGAAAGAACAATCTCAGCCAATCACAAATTCAACCAGACCTAAACCATGCATGACGTCAGAAGAGAAGACGCCCGGTGAGATAGTTACGTCACAGACTGTTAGTTTCAGTGATGTCTTTTATGGATTTGTTCAAGAGGATTACACAGAATTTACTGATTTCCCTTCTTCTGAAGATCTAGACGCTTTCTTGGCTGATATGGAGCTCGATTGTGAAAACATACTGCAGAAAACATCGATGGCGCCTGCTGATGCTACGAGATCCGCTGATGCATTTGACCTTCACCAGAAGGTAGAGGTGTCTAGAAAATTGGCCAGTAACCAGCACGATATTAAATATATCGCGAAAAGACACAACACTGAACACTCCAAAAAGATCTTGGATTTAGCTGATGGTGAGGGCGTGTGCGCGCAAGATGATTCTGTAAGACTTCAAAATTCAAACTCGAAAAAGAAGGTACTTTTAAAGATTGATCTATCACATTCTGAGTTGCTCAGAAACTGCGAACACCTTTTCACAGAGCCCTCTGAAAAGTCTATTCCTGAAAAGCATGTAACAAGAAGAAAGCAAAAGAGGCATTCCTCTGTCAATTTACAAAGCAGTTTTATGAAGAACGATAAGCCTACTCATTGTCTAGACGAATTAATAAAGAAAGAGAAAGTGTTGTGCAGTTTAGAATCAAACCAAGAGTCACGTAAAGAGGACGTAGTTTGTACTAGATCGCTGCAGCACCAAGTGCTAAACAAATGGTCACATGATCAAAATATCAAAGAGGAGATCCGACAACCTGCTTCTAATCAAGGAAACAATTATTCTTCAGATGACATGTTAAATGATAGCTTTGAGATGATGCACACTTCTCCTAATTTGTTTTCGCAATCTCTGTCTCGTGCGAAAGTAATTCGTTCTGACACACCGTATTTATATTCTTCTCCAAAACTCTTGAAAGGTGATTCCCATTCTTGGTGTTCAAAACACTTTAGCGGAACACCTGACCTATTTTCTTCCCCAAATTGCTCTCCCAGCAGGCAGGAAATGAACTCGGTATCATTGTTTTCCTGTTCTAATCATTCACTTTTCTCTTCCTCGTCGTCCCCGCTTCGCTTGGTTGAGCAGCCAGCTTCGTCTTCAGATTCAAATAGAAACGAACCTGATGCGCCTTCAGTCATAAACCAGAGCAAATCTGAAAACAGGTTTGTGCAAAATGATGAACAGGCTATTAGTTTTCATTCAACACCCCGCTATACAAACGGCACTTCTAAACGTTTACACAGAATGTGTACACCGGCGGGAGTTTCACCGTTGTTGTCCGACTCTCGAGGACCTAGTCCATACAATGAGCCGGAAATTAGTGCATTAGGAACACTAGTTCTTTTCTCGCAAATGTCAACCAGCAGTTTGTAAGTTATATTATTAATTTGATTCAATTATTTGTCGAACATAACTTGAAAACCAAAAGTTAGTTACTAGGTGAATGTGGTAGTAAATATAATTAAAAGAAGTAAAAATAACAAATCTTGTAATAAATCAAGAAGTCACTTTCAGGGGCTTCGAAATTAATAGGTGGGCGTTTGGGTCCTTTCTGAAAATTTGGAAAAGGGTTTGGCCTTCGTGTTCGTTCGAGTCGTTTTTATTATCTCTTTCCCTTGCACAGGGTAGGTGTAAAGCTCGTTAATGACGGTTTAATCTGATGACTTTACAAGCGGTACAATAACCTGCGATCTAGCTCTCCTTTTGGGGGAGTCGCAAGAAGTCACGCGAGAGCCGCACTCTAAAAGAGACGCGAGTGTGAGGGGTGGAGAAAGAAAGGAGGGTTCTCCTTCACGGCTTCGCCGCTCGCTCGCGCGTTCTCTCGCGGCTCGCTTCGCTCGCCACTCGAAATGGAGAGCTTGCCCGCGGGCTAGCGGTACAAGGGATGTGGATCCACACTGGCAGCTCTGATGTGAATAGGTTAACAGATTAACGATAAAGGGGCAGCATGGCTGGAGGATTATTCCATATTTCAATCATAAACAGCGAAAATAAATAGAGGATATTACACGGTGGCGCGAAGATATGAATTTTATTTTCGAGTGGCAAAACAATATTTTACGAACGAGCGCAGCGAGTGAGTAAAATATTGTTTTTGCCACGAGAAATAAGACAATAAGACAAAAAGACATCGATAAAATAATAGATTTTAATTCGCCAAAAAGTAATTGTGACGGCTCAGATTTACAGTACAGCAATACATTTTGTATAAGACATTGGTTACAATAATCTTGAGAAATAACACTGAGCTGAATAGGGCTCTACAATGACAAAATATAAGCAAAACTTTGGAAAAATGTTTAAGTAAAATTCAAAAGACGTAAGACGTCTACAAATTTCGAAGGAAAATTACCGAAATTACGTTATCGATAAACTCACGTGTGAGATTATGGAAAATAAACCACTCGGGTCTCGGATGTAGTTTTTATGAATTTTACGAATGGTATATTTTCCAGTAAAACACTCGTGTCTATATAATAAAAATATTTCTTTCTGATCCATTGATATGAAAATAACAGCAGTAAGCAAAGGTGAAGCAAGTATAACTCGTTATTATTGTGTATTATATGAGGCTGCACAAAGTCTTGTGATTATTGGGTATGTCCGTTTCTTGGAGACCCTCCTAAAAGACCTAACTAATGATATGAACTCAGAAAATTTTGCGTAGTTATGAAACAATTTTGGCTCACTTTTGCTTTGTCTAAAAAAAAAAGTGAAATAATCAGTGCCAATTTTTTTCTTTTTTTTTTTTTTTAATATTGCAACCATACTTTAAATTGCCTTTGACGGGGGAATGATCTTTTTGATAACTGTTACAAAATTATTAGTGACACCGTCCTTTTTAAAAATAGTAGCAAGAGAGTTTCTTTCATCTAATATATCGTCTACAAACTTGCACAACTACTTAATACATCAGGCCTTGTAGAAATACTATCAGAAAGAGAATTATTTACTGTGTTATAACTCGTAGTTTACTCCGAATTATTCTCTAACTTTGGTCAACTTAAATATCTTATCCTTTGCAATTGCTTTAGTGGAATATTGTGTTGTCACACAGCTGTCCCTCTACGGAAACATTTGTCCGGCATTCTCAGTAATACTCTCGCTGACCGATTGTGTTCAGGGGCTATTTACTTTTAGATTCTATCATGTCGCAATTATTGCTGCAGGTCTATTTCTGTGACTTATTAACAGTTTTTCTAGTGAAACGCCCCTCCAGTGTAAACTGATCAACACGACCATTGCCAGCATTGTATACAATAAGGTTGTAATAATTGCCACATTTCTGGACACACAGTCCCCATGGACCACACAACTGTGGTGTGGTGGTAATTTTTTAGCCTGCCAGCAAGCTCTCCTAGGGCTCTCGGGGGTACGGGGGTGGGAGATTTACTCGCAGGCTTGTAATTTTTCCAAATCTTTCTTAATGGCAACGTAATTTCTTCTCAAACTTAGGAGGTATTAACTTTTAAAACCCCATCGAGCCATCTGACTTTGTCACACAACTCTGTCCTTATAAAGCATTTTTGTTACTTCAGTACTGATAAGATATTGTCGGAATTGGCTTAAGTCAATTCCTTGTTGAAAGTATTCAGCTGCTATTTACTTATTCCTTTTACCATACCGACTTATCGTTTAATTTTTTTGGTGCTTATTTCAGGATGTATATTTGTTTCATCATCCAGTCTGTTGCTTTTTAATTATTTTAGAATGTGAATTTTTTTGGTCTTAAAGTCTGTAACTAGAATGAGTCCATCCGGTGTTGTAGTTATTATTGTAGGGTCTTGTAACTTAACAACAGTTTTTCCAGTGAAACAGCCCTCCACTGTAAACTGATCAACACGGCCATTGAGACTATTACCAACAAGAAGATTATGGTGGTTGCCACATTTCTGAAGACAGAGTCCATCAGGCCCTCGCAACTGTCCATCACCCTTGCCAGGTTCTCCTATCTTGAACAAAAACTTTCCAGTATTATCAAACACTTTCAAGCAATTATTACCCCAGTCAGAAACAATGAACTTGTTCTCATGGTAAATACATGCAGTGGGATTGTTTAGTTTTACTGGTCCACTGTCTCCAAATTGAAACAAAGGTTCACCATCCTGTGATAAGACTTGGATTCTGTTGTTAAGATAATCAGCAACTATAACACGGCCTTCTTCATCCACACAAACACTGACAGGGCTCAGAAACTCACCACCCCTTGTCCCTCTCTTTCCAAAGCTTTTTACAGAATTCCCTGTTTGAACATTAAATTGTTGAATGCAATGATTTACTTCATCCACCACAAGAACGTTATCATCATTTAGATATGTGACGTCAGCTGGACAATCGAGCTGTCCAACATTGTTTCCATAACAACCCACTTTTCTTACACAGTTTCCATCTTTGTCAGTTATCAGGATACAGTGTTTATCATAGTCACTAACAGCGATTTGTCCTTTGCTGTTCACGGTAATTCCAAATGGCTTTTCAAGAGTTTCTCCTTTTATTTCTACCTCTCCCACAACCTGAATAAGTCGTTGTTTTACTTGGACAGTATAAGGACTTCCTGCAAACTCCTTGCCATTTACTTTTATTATGATGTTGAAGATACCTGGAACTTTAGGTGTAAACTTCACGGTGTAATCTCCATCTTGATTTTCGCAAGTTGTCAAGCTTCCTATTTTTTCAGCGGGTTCCACAAGCACTTTTACTTCAAAGACTGTTTCTCCAAGTATTTGAGGGTGAACTTCAAACTCTGATTCAACACCAGCTTGGAAATCTTTTGTCAGTCCTACTACTGGTTCACTTGTTGCTATGTAACCAAGGGTTAGATTCTTTTCTTCTTTTGTTTGATAAAACTTTAGGAATGAATTAACCAGAAGTTCTGGGATCGTCGTGTTTTCAAGATGATTAAATCGTTGTTCTAGATAATTCTTGCTTTGCATTACATCTGAGCTGGAGCTTCTTTGAATGAGATTTTCAGCAAACTCGATTGCTTGGTTGATTTGTTTCAGCAGGGATTGCACTTGTGCCTTTGCAGAGTCTAACTTATCTGCTCTTGACGCGCGGCTGTTCTCGAGGGCGGTAATAATTCGCCGCTCGTCTTCTCGAATCTTGGCGATCATTTGTTCGGCAGCTTTGGAAACTTCACGTTTAGCGTTAGTGAGATTTGCCTCCAGTTCAAGTATTGTTTGTTCATATTCACGACTCGTATCGCCAAAAACCCTTGTTTTTGTTTTCAATACCTCGGTTCTTGTCAGGATGTTGGCTTTCTCGCCGTCGGCTGCTTTATCTAATGGTTCCACGTCATGTGCCTTATGATCCGTAGCAATGCATATTTGGCAAACACAGATTTCGCATATAAGGCAGAAAAACCTCGTTACTTCTCGCTCGTGATACCGCTGCGAACAAAATGACTGCTTCCTCATTAGTGCTTCATAGTCTTGAGGCTGGAAATGTTTGACTGGCGTCACCTTGTGTCCTTCTGTTAAATGACTAAACAGTTGATGTGCGTTTACACAGTCACTGCACATGAATTTAGCGCATTCGAAGCAGTAACTTATCTCTGCGCTCATTTTCTTGCAAACGCCACAACTAATATCATTTCCTTTTCCGCTTTGTCGGATGGCGAGAACACTGAGCAGACTATTGTGATGAAAACTGGTCGGTAATTTGTCAAAACGGTTTGCTTCTGGAAGATCAACTTCAGCTTGACACTCGGGGCATCGAAACTTTCCATTCCTTTGGCTGATCAGTGCGTGTTTCTTTATACACTCAAAACAGAATGTGTGGAGGCAGGTTATTGTCTTGGGATCGGTGAAAGTATCCAGACAGATTGAACAAGTAACATATTCTTTGAGATTCTTTAACAAAGACTCCATCGTTCGAGTTTCCTTTTACAGCGGCAGAACACACGCTATTCTTGTTCAGCGTGATTCTGGAAAACTTGAACTATATAAAGCTCTACTGGAATAATAAAAACAATTTGCATTTCACTGCAGACAGCTAGGCAGCCAACCAAATTTAAATCTTTCCACCTGCTGACCTTAGTCTAAAAGCGGAAGTTTCAAAGAAGCTTTAAAGGTCTTTAAGCGTGACTTGTCTGAAAACAAAGAAACTGCGCACACAGACGGGTACATTTGTATTACAGAGAAAATATTTTCACTTTGGATTCATAATAACAACTACCTATGGTCTTAACTTCTTTTCTTACTTTTCAGCTAAGCAGTGGAATTCACTTCCGGACTTTTTTCATGTAGATTCTTTTTGCTTAACATACTTAAACTTAAAATTGTAAATTGTAAATAATATTTTCTTTTCTTTTCTTTACTTTTATGCGCTTATTATTATTAACATTATTTTATTATTATTACTTATAATGCTTTTGATGTATATATATATATATATTTCTATATTATTTTCGTGTAGTGTCAGCTCGAAGATATTAGCTTGTTAGCTACTCTAAAATTCGAGTATAAATAAAGTTTAGGTTATGTTATGTTATAATACAAGTGGTTCTGTTCAAGTCCAAAAGTCCATTTTGTAACTGAGCTTGAGCCTTTAAAGAATTCGGATCAGTATTATTCTCTATCTCATTCCGTGTGTGTTACGATAAAGACATTTTGATATTTCAGGTAGCCAACCAAACTTACCCTCTGATTGTGGAGCAGAGGTTGATACAATTCAGTTCCAATCATTCTTTTGATTTTTTGTTTTGTGAATGAAAGATAGTGAGGATAACGGCAAAGAATTTGGAGCATGCCCCCAGACGGTGATCCCCCCTACTTCGAATCGCGTTCGGACTTCCAACTTTTTTCCTTTGCGTACCTGCTTCAAAATATATACGCTACGCCCCTGAGCGTGACTTGTCTGAAATTATTTTGACAAAAACAAAGAAACTGTGCACAATGACGGGTACATTTGTATTACAGAGGAAATATTCTTTCAATTTGGATTCATAATAGAAGTGGTTCTGTTCAAGTCCAAAAGTCCATTTTGTAACTGATCTTGAGCCTGTAAAGAATTGTCATTATATTATTCTTTATCTCATTCTGTGTGTGTTACAATAAAGACATTTTGAAAACACTATATTTCAGGTAGCCAACCAAACTTATCCTCTGATGGTGGAGCAGAGGTTGACACAATTTCCAATCATTCTTTTGATTTTTTGTTTTCTGAATGAAAGATAGTGTGAGGATAACGGCAAGGTTTTGTATCAAATGGAAAACTCTTGGATTTTGGATCCGCATCGTTTAGTACAGGTAATCACATGATTTCGAGTGCAATTTGGAATAAATAAGCACGAGTAAATTTTTTCAAAGGCTAACAAAATTGCACGAGCCCGTAGGGCGAGTGCAATTTGTGGTCTTTGAAAAAATTTACGAGTGCTTATTTATTCCAAATTGCACGAGAAAAATCATGTGATTACTTATTAATAATATTCATGAAAAAATTGCGAGATAGCTTTAAAATCTCTTTAATAGGGAGTCAAC